GATAATAATTTGTTGCGTAATCCCTCGTGTGTGAGTGGTTACTGATAATGTTGTGTAATCCCACATGTTAGAGAGGTTACTGATAATGACATGTAATCCCTCCTATGTGAGAGGTTACTGATAATGATCTGTAATCCCTCGTGTGTCAGAGGTTACTGATAACGATTTGTAACCCCTCGTGTGTGAGAGTTTACCAATAATGATCTGTAATCCCTCCTGTGTGAGAGGTTACTGATAATGTTGTGTTATCCCTCGTGTGTAAAGGTTACTGATAATGTTCTGTAATCCCTCGTGAATGAGAGGTTACTGATAATAATATGTTGCGTAATCCCTCGTGTATGAGAGGTAACTTATAATGATCTGTAATCCCTTGTGTGTGAGAGTTTACTAATAACGATCTGTAACCCCTCGTGTGTGAGAGGTTACTGTTAATGATCTGTATTTCCTGGTGTTAGAGAGGTTACTGATAAGGTTGTGTAATTCATCGTGTGTGAGAGGTTACTGATAATGATCTTGAATTCCACATGTGTGAGAGGTTGCTGATAATGTTGTGGATCCCTCGTGTGTGAGAGGTTACTGATAATAATATGTTGCGTAATCCCTCGTGTATGAGAAGTAACTGATAACGATCTGTAATTCCTCGTGTGTGAGTGGTTACTGATAATGTTGTGTAATCCCTCGTGTGAGAGGTTACTGATAATGTTGTGTAATCCCTCGTTTATGAGAGGTTACTGATAATGATCTGTAATCCCTCGTGTGTGAGAGGTTCCTGATAATGTTGTGTAATCCCTCGTGTGAGAGGTAACTGATAATGTTGTGTAATCCCTCGTGTGAGAGGTTACTGATAATGTTGTGTAATCCCTCGTTTATGAGAGGTTACTGATAATGATCTGTAATCCCTCGTGTGTGAGAGGTTCCTGATAATGTTGTGTAATCTCTCGTGTGAGAGGTAACTGATAATGTTGTGTAATCCCTTGTGTGAGAAGTTACTGAAAATGTTGTGTAATCCCTCGTGTGTGAGAGGTTACTGATAATGATCTGTAATTCCTCGTGTGTAAGAGCTTACTGATAACGATCGGTAATTCATCGTGTGTTAAAGGTTACTGATAATGTTTTGTAATCCCTCGTGTGTGAGAGGTATCTGATATTGATCTGTAATCCCTCGTGTGTGAGAGTTTACTGGTAATGATCTGTTATCCCTCGTGTGTGAGAGGTTACTGATAATGTTGTGTAATTCCTCGTGTGTGAGAGGTTACTGATAATAATATGTTGCGTAATCCCTCGTTTATGAGAAGTAACTGATAATGATCTGTAATTCCTCGTGTGTGAGAGGTTACTGATAATGTTGTGTAGTCCCTCGTGTGAGAGGTTACTGATAATGTTGTGTAATCCCTCGTGTATGAGAGGTTACTGATAATGATCTGTAATCCCCCGTGTGTGTGAGGTTCCTGATAATGTTGTGTAATCCCTCGTGTGAGAGGTAACAGTTAATGTTGTGTAATCCCTTGTGTGAGAGGTAACTGATAATGTTGTGTAATCCCTCGTGTGTGAGAGGATACTGATAATGATCTGTAATTCCTCGTGTGTAAGAGCTTACTGATAACGATCGGTAATCCTTCGTGTGTGAGAGGTTTTTGATAATGTTGTGTAATCCTCGTGTGTTAGAGGTTACTGATAATGTTGTGTAATCCCTCGTGTGTGAGAGGTTACTGATAATGACCTGTAATCCCTCTTGTGTGAGAGCTTACTGATAACGATCTGTTATCCCTTGTGTGTGAAAGGTTACTGATAATTTTTTGTAATCCCTTGTGTGTGAGAGGTTACTGATAATGATCTGTAATTCTTCGTATGTAAGAGGTTACTGATAATGTTGTGTAATCCCTCGTGTGAGAGGTAACTGATAATGTTGTGTAATCCCTCGTATGAGATGTTACTAATAATGATCTGTAATCCCTCGTGTGTGAGAGCTTACTGATAACGATCTGTAATCCCTCGTGTGTGAGAGGTTATTGATAATGTTGTGTAATCCATTGTGTGTGAGTGGTTACTGATTATGATCTGTAATCCCTCATGTATGAGATGTTACTGATAATGTTGTGTAATTCCTCGTGTGTGAGAGGTTACTAATAATGATCTGTAATCCTTCGTGTGTTAGAGGTTAATGATAATGATCTTTAATTCCACGTGTGTGAGAGGTTACTGATAATGTTGTGTAATCCATCGTATATAAGAGGTTACTGATAATGATCTGTTATCCCTCGTGTGTGAGGGGTTACTGATAATGTTGTGTCGTTATGTTGCTGTCTCAATGATGAACACCCTATTTTTCCTTTTATTTGTGCGTTAACATAAGGAATCATACTTAACACAAAAATCTCCCTACATTGACAAAAAAAAAGAATTAATGAAACATAACAGGCTTTACAGTTTATTAGACACGCATTTTGTTTACATAAGACTCCTTTGGTAGCGGTCGTATCAAAATCGTATCTTTGCATGGGGTAGTAAACCCGTCGCGTTAGAATGTCTCTACTAAATCTAGTTAACCCCACCACATCCTGTATATGTACCAAATCAGACTATCTGGATCATGTGTATATCCTTGTTGTTTTTCTTTGTTTGTATGTCTGCTTTTTTTTTTTTTTCTCTCTCGGAGGAGTCGAGTGTTTGCGGTTGATGTGGTACAATGATGTACATGTACTGTGTGGTATTTTTGACGGTTAATGGTATCCCATTGTATGTGTTATTAAACAATTTATAAACAGTACATTTACAAAAATGACCACATCACTTACATGTCATGTGAGCACCAGATAGTTAACTACTGATCTGGTGATTACATCGCATTAACCTTTATTAAGTCCTTATTAGTTTCTGTATTCTTTATATATTCATAGCATTTTTCTTTACTTTTACAAATAGTGCTTTTTCTGTAAGATTTTCATTAAAATCATTTTAGTATTGATTTATTTCTATAATTATATGATTTCTTTATTCTGTACAAACCTCATTTCTGTAATCAGTATTTTATTACCTAATTTGTTAATTTTACAGAATTGTTCTGTATACTTTTGCACCACATTATTTTCTATTCTTTATTTTATTTTTTTTTTTTTGCAAATTTTTCTCTTTTTATTATTTTGTTTGGCCTTTATTCTTTATTTTTTAAATCCTATCAAGACCCTCAGATACCAGGCTTATACTTTAATGGGCAAGGCATGTGCTTACACATTTCTCCCCACATTTCGTTCAGACGACGTGAAGCAGAACGTTTATTATCGCGTCAAAGGTTCAATTACCTAAGTTGATTCAGTATCAACTTCTCCTAAAAATGGGTTTTAAATTTTTTTTTCAACATTAACGATTTGAGCTAGCTTTAACCAGTTTTTATTATATACATAATAGTATATATACAAGTAAATTGTATGACATTGTGTAATACAATCAATTGCGATCGTCCTGCATCGACTATCCGTGATGCAATCGATATCAGTCACGGCTGCAAGGCTTATCTGTATGACGTCACAATACAGGAAAAACATCTACTCGAAGGATTCATAACAAGTGAGAATTGAATATCGTTTGATATCAATTCGAGTTATTTAATTTCAATTCAATGATAAACGAGCCTTCATCGAGTTAATTATTACTATTCAAATTTAATAACGAGATTGTTGATCAGGGAGCTTATTCACAAAGCATCCGTTAACTAACGTCCGTGAAAATTCAACGTGGTATTCACAAAAGTTTCCGTAAACTTTGTTTTAACGGGTGCGGTATTAACGGGTCCGTAAGTATGCAAATTAAGCATACTTGATGTGTTGTTTGTTTTCATTGGTTCATAAATTAATGTGTCTTCATGGTATCATTGTGTATGATTATTTAAGGAATAACTGTAATATTTGTTTCTGTCTATGAAGACATAACATCAAAAATGTGTTGCACACTGAATAACTCGCGTAGTGGGTTTTTTAAAAGTGTGCACCACATTTTTGAGGTTATTTCTTCTTAATTTTTCTTCTTAATTTTTTTTTTTTATAATTATATTGTATAGATAGACGCTTATAATATATTTTCAATAATTGGAACCCGAATCAATGGTGTCTCAACATATATATTTCATGGCTTCTTAATTTTGGTAACTTCTTTTTGTAACCTTTTGTAACTGGTTCTTCTTGCTGCTGCTGCTTCTTTTTCTTCTTCATTATCTGTGACGTTTCTGTACATGACGTCATGTTTTACGCCTTCACAACGGAAGAACACAGTTGGAAAACAAGTCCTAGGAAACGTCCGTTGTCGTCAAGCTCTATCAGCAACAATAGCAGGGGGACTTAATTAGGTGGCGGTACAATCGTCGGCGACGACAAAAAGTACTCGAAAATCAACCGGCTAAAAAATCGACGTTAAACTATTTTTTTTTTACCTTGTCATGCTTTTATTATAATTGCTTTTTAAAGTTTGTAGGTTTTGTGAACAATATATTTTCAATACGATATAGAAACATTGTCGAAAATAACTTGTATTTGCTATTACTTCATCCTGTCCGTTGTAAAAATTATCAGTCAGTCATCTTTTTTGTTCGCCAAAAAACTCGAATTTAAATACGTTTGCGTATCCAAATACGGAAAAGAAATTTAAAAATTTTTAATGTAACCGGGTAACCTATTTTAAATTTCTACATAAATATGAAGCCATCATGTTTTACTCTTATACAATAATTTCAGTGACCACCAGGCATGCCATTTGTAGTTTGTTTTGGCATCGGTTCTACTTAAAGCAGTGAAAGTTCAGCTTCTTTGCATTGAAGATGTTACCAAAGTACTCTAAAATACTGATTTTATTAGAGATATGAATTAAATTATGATTAAACAGTGTTGTTTTTCACAATTCCAAACGATAACTTCATTGCAAAGTAACTACAACCCTTCTTGGTCCCCTACACAAATTGACGGTGACATTGTTTTCTTTTTTTAACACACGCCATATAACGTTAACAAAATATGTGTCAGGGTCATATTGTGCATAGTGAAAATTTACACATTAGAAAAGTGAAGCAAAGATCATGTTTATTACGTTTGAAACTGTACGTCTAAGAAAATTTCAGTCATACTGGCAACAAATCTGACCAAATAATGGCATGGACAAAAACACAAGAAATGGCAAGAGAAAAAAATAATTCTTTGCAATGGAAATCTCTGGAAAAAAAAACATGAAAGAAGAAACGAAGGTCAGTTTATTATACTCTACAAGTGAAAAACCTTAGTTATTGGATATCTACTTATTAAATAAGTTAAAGTAATAAGTGCAAAAAATAGCTTATCAAGTCGAACAAAAAATTTAATTCTTACAAAACTGAATTATTCACATAGTAAATTCTTGTCAAATTTTGCAATCATTAAGTAAAATGAACAAGATCTGTCCCATCAACTATCAAATAATTCTCTTGTAATGTGTTATATATATATACAATTATTTAGGTACAAGTATACAATATTTATTTATACCAGCTTACACAGCAACTGGAAGAGTAGACTAGAAGCCTCAATTTTTAGAATTTTTCTAAAAGTTTTACTTTCCTAATCTATAGAATACCCTGAGAAATTTGGCAAGGGCTACTGTGGTAGCTAATTTAATAATTTCATTTCATTTAATAATATAATGATTTTAAAATTCAGAAATATGCCACTTAAATAAATACTATCATTTTAAGTATTATCTTTTACAGAATTTCTATTGTTCAGTGAAAATAAGTTATTCTAAAATATTTTTGGTAAACATTTTTGATTTTCTGTAGGATATTTTCAAGGCAGTACTGCACTGTTCAACTAGGAAACAAAGATGGAGTTAAAAGGCCTTTTTGCTATGAAGTAACTATCATGACTCTGGGTCTCACTTTTTAGAATGTAAAAATCTAAATGATCAGTACTAGTAGTATTTATCATATTTATTTCCAAAAGATTTTTTTAAATTGTGACAAGATATTTTATTGCTTAAAACATTATTAGATGTATTTAGAAAAATTCTACCAAGAGTGATCTTACATCCCATTATTACAATTACAATGAAAATTTAATCAGCCAGAGCTAATTTATATCAATTGAAATTCAGCTAGTTTTCTAGGAGACATTTCATAATTTTTAACCAATTTATTGTCTTTTAATCTTGACCTCTTATCCTTCTCTGAAAAGGAGGCAGGTATGTCTTGTTAATATTAAAAAAACATAGTTCTAAATCGAATTTTGTTTATTTTCTTCTTGATTTTTGTGATGATAACTCCCGGGTGATAACTCCTTTTCCTTGATTTTGTTGGATTTTTATTTTTGACTTGTGATATCAAGGGAGATAACCACTTGCACAAAATCGGCAAAAAACCACCGCTTCGTGTTGAAAATAACTTGACGTTTGCGTATCAAAAACTCTGTTGCCTGGATATTCATATCGAGTGTTTGTCTTAAGGAGATGCCTAATTAAATTCAAATTCAGCCCATCATTTTTTGTTTCCTCGAATATATTTAGATTTTTTGATCAGGAGACTTGACAATTTTCACGCAAACTTCAGGTTTGAAGATCAAATTAAGAAAGAAGGACTTTTAGTTGATGTGTAAATTTTGAAGAGTGAAAATATATATACTTAAGATTATTTTGATTGGTACGTTTTTATCATGACAGTGGTATATTATTTAGAAAAAATGAGGTTTGTCTCTTCCGCAGTTTTACAGAATTTTCAATGTCACGTGACTCTATTGTTGCTGATAGGTTTGGGGTCAAACCGTGACCTGCTTTCCAACTGAACAATGGAGCAAGAGGATAGAAAGAGAAAGCCTAGATTTACAGAAATAGAGGTGTATGCCCTCATTTCCAAGGTGCACCAGAATTCTGATGTTTTGTTTTCGAAATTTAGCTACTCAATCACTAGTAAAAAGAAAAAATGAGATGGGGTGAGGTACACCGTTGACCACTTCTGAGGAAATTGTAGTTCCGCTGATTGGAGGACAGGAACTTTATGGTATTTTCGATGGAATAAGAACGGTAAGATTAGAAAGTCATAAGAACGGTAATATTAGAAAGAAGCAACAGCTTAAGGTTTTTTTTTTATAGATTCTATAAAATTAATCAATCCTTAAAAACAATATTTCAGTTGAAATATAATGTCGTATTTGGTTTCCTTTTAAACTGAAAATTTTGAAACCTTAATACGATTACATGTACACTATTGGCTGGTAATAGTGTGTTTGCACCACAACTCCGTTAACTAAGCGTAACGTTACCAAATTTCTTATGCATCGTTATCTAATCTTACCGTTCTTATGTCTATATAATCTTACCGTTTTATTTTTATTTTTGGTATTTGTTCGAATCATTTTGTGGGGTTTATTTAGCAAATTAAGGACTTCGCAAGGAGTGGGTATAATTTGTTTAGCTTTGCTAACAGTACCACCAGTTTTTAAAAGAAACACGCTAAATGAATACTCAATGAAAACTATTGTATATTAAAAAAATAATTGATACTTAAATTATATTGATTGAAATGTCTTTTTCAGGCAACAGAAACAATTGATTTTCATAGTAGTGATGAATGTAGCTTACCAGTTAGAACCTCCTAGCAGCAATGAATGAAGCTTCCCATTTAGAACCTCCTAGCAGTAATGAATGTAGCTTACCAGTTAGAACCTCCTAGCAGTAATGAATGTAGCTAACCAGTTGGAACATCAAATACATCTATGCATAATAACTTACATGTACCGTCAGCAGCAGTAATGAATGTAGCTTACCAGTTGGAACCTCCTAGCATTAATGAATGAAGCTTATCAGTTGAAATTTCCTAGCAGTAATAAATGTAGCTCACCAGTTGAAATCTTCTAGCAGTAATGAATGTAGCTTACCAGTTGGAATCTCCTAGCAGTAATAAATGTAGCTTACCAATTGAAATCTACTAGCAGTAATGAATGTAGCTTACCAGTTGGAACATCAAAAACATATATGCCTAATAGCTTACATTTACCGTCAGCAGCAGTAATGAATGTAGCTTACAAGTTGGAATCTCCTAGCAGAAATTAATGTAGCTTACTAGTTGGAATTTTCTAGCAGTAATAAATGTAGCTTACCAGTTGAAATCTCCTAGCAGTAATGAATGTAGCTTACAAGTAATCTCCTAGCAGTAATGAAAGTAGTCTACCAGTTGGACCCTCCTAGCAGTAGTGAATGTAGCTTACCAGTTGGCATCTCCTAGCAGTAGTGAATCTAGTTTACCAGTTGGAATCTCCTAGCAGATATGAATATAGGTTACCTGTAATTTCCTAGCAGTAATTAATGTAGCTTACCAGTTGGAATTTTCTAGCAGTAATGAATGTAGCTTACCAGTTGGAACCTACTAGCAGTAATGAATGTAGCTTGCCAGTAATCTTCTAGCAGTAATGAAAGTAGCCCACCAGTTGGAACCTCCTAGCAGTAATGAATGAAGCTTACCAGTTGGAATCTCCTAGCATTAATGAATGTAGCTTACCAGTTGTCATACTTTGGACGACAAAATTATTTTATTTATTAATATTACTTTTACTATTGAGTCTGTTTTTTGTGATATGCATTTGACGTGACTCTGTACTTATGTATATCGTCATACTTTGTACCACACAATTATTTTATTTATTAATATTACTTTTACTGTTAAGTCTGTTTTTGTTATATCCATTTTACGTGACTCTGTATTTATATTTTTCCCCTCATACTTTGAACGACAAAATTATTTTATGTCTACCTGTGCGAATTTCAAATGCGCGATTTTACGCAAGTACTTAAAACCTTCCATCCTTTATGGGTGGATCTTACATAGATAAATAAAATCGTATAATATAAGCAAAACGAGGATTTTAAATTTGATGTATGCCTTTTTGTGCTTCTTCGTTACATTTGTTTGTTTTTATAGTGATTAAGATGATAACATAATGTTGACTGCTGTACCCCTATTTTTGACATTTTTACCTATTGTGTCTGTTTGTTTTGTTCACGCATCGTTGTCAATATAATGGAATTTGATGCGACTGTCATACAAGTGAGAGGTTTAGCTAGCTATAAAACCAGGTTCAATCCACCATTTTCTACATAAGAAAATGCCTGTAACAAGTCAGGAATATGACAGTTGTTATCCATTCGATTGATGTGTTTGTTTTGTTTTGTTTTTATTTTGCCATTTGATTGGGGACTTTCCTTTTTGAATTTTCCTCGGAGTTCAGTATTTTTGTGATTTTACTTTTTACCAGTTGGAATCTCCTAGCAGTAATGAATGTAGCTTACCAGTTGGAATCTTCTAGCAGTAATGAATGTAGCTTACCAGTTGGAATCTCCTAGCAGTAATGAATGTAGCTTACCAGTTGGAATCTACTAGCAGTAATGAATGTAGCTTACCAGTTGGAATCTCCTAGCAGTAATGAATGTAGCTTACCAGTTGGAATCTCCTAGCAGTAATGAATGTAGCTTACCAGTTGGAATCTCCTAGCAGTAATGAATGTAGCTTACCAGTTGGAATCTCTAATACTAATATACCTAATAGTTTACATGTACCGCCAGCAGCAGAAACAACAAATATTACTACTTCTATGCCTTGTTGGGGTAAAAAAAAGAGTTCCACACCAAGCAAAGGTGACAGGTATATTACATAAGATACTCATACAGTTATAAGTATGCCTCATTGCTGCTAGACAAAAAATTATGTTTTATTGTAAAATTAACACTAACATTTAATCATTATTCACGCTTATTGATTCCTATGATAAAGATTTTATGAATAACTATACTCTGGTTTGAAATTTAGTTGATTTCTCTAATTAGTCGAGATCGAAAGATCTCAACGTCTACAACAATATCATCATTATCATACATTTCATCATTGCCCTCGTATTTCTGATCTCCATCCGGAAATTGTATGCCTTTTTTCTCACAAATCTTATGAAGAACACCAGTTGCAACAATTACTTTGATTGCATTCCTCAGTTCAATGGTACATGTAATTGCTCCACCTGTTAAGAGAGTTTATTATTTCCTCAAAGGTAAATACAATCAATTTAATGTGTAATTAAAAAATAATGGTTATTATTCTATATCAACCATCCGTAATGATATATCGATACCAGGTGTATGTATTATCTTGTCTTGTCTTGCTATATATATTTCACCAATACTTTTTTCCTGGAATTATATTTTTTCCGGTGGGGTGTTTGGATGAGATTTTTGCCAAATTTTGCTAATAATTATAGTTACAGCGGTTTTATATTTCAAATTGTATTATAGAAATGAAACAACTCATGTGTGCCTGTTTACATGATTGTGTTATATAGAGAATATGATATGGCTATACTTGTATCCATATAATCACGGTCTGGAACAGGAAGAAAAATACTATAAATAGGACAAAGGGAAGTTCAAAAAATATTGTACAGTTTAACAGCGATTAATACCTGACCGCTCCTAGAAAACAAATACCATCAACAACGAACAACAAATGGTAAAGATATCTCAACTTGGTACAAGCACAATTTGTAATGGAAATGAACTTTCACAATGCTTATAATCTAGACCAAACGTGTATTTCGTAAACGTAAAAAAAATTGAAATACCGCAAATAATTAAGAAAACAAGGTCAAAATATGCTCGCTACAATAGGTAGCAAGCTAAAATACCGCAGCTGCTTGTTGTTTATGTCTACATAAGAAAATATCTGTACCAAGTCAGGAATATGACAGTTGTTATCCATTCGTTTGATGTGTTTTAGCTTTTGATTTTGCCATTTGATTAGGGACTTTCCGTTTTGAATTTTCCTCGGAGTTCGGTATTTTTGTGATTTTATATTTTTTTGAATACTGCCATTCAAGGAAGTAAAAGAATCAGAAACTTAACTCCAAACAGGGCAGTAATTGAGAGGGATGTGAGTATGTTAACATAATTAAACAGGCATCGCAATACAATTATGAAAACGCATTGTTCTACATACTTAACGTCAATTGTCTTTTTGTAAGCCTTTTTTTAAAGTGAAAAAAAAGAACCATTTCAAATGATTCTTTAGTAAATCATGCCTATAGCCCTCTGTGCAGAATGATGTAAAATTTTCCCCGAGTTTTTATGTATCTCTATTGAATCGTTGTTTCATTGGCAATCAATCCACATCGTCTTCATTTTTTATATTATTTGATAAAAAAAACTTCCTACGGATTTATACTAAATTTTAGTTGAATGATAAAATATTGAAATAAAATTTACCCTTACCAAATTTGTGAAGCATAAGCCATCGGCTTTTCCATCTGTCAATCGTGTTCTCAATTAACTGCCTTGTTTTTTTTTTTTTGGCGAAGTCTGTTGAAGTCGTGGTCAGCATCATTTAATGATTTCTTTTCTAGTGTTTTGCACATACCATTATGATGTCATATGTCCTGTTCTGGCGTCAAACTTTACCATCAGACATTTTAAAACATTTGTACGCTTCAGAATGTAATAAAATTTAACAAAAGAAGATTTTCAGGTGAAAAGTGTGAGTGTTTTGTATATTATTGAATAAATCACATATGTCCGTTGTCATGGACGAAACGTGCATCGTCTTAAACTTTTAAAGTTACCAATGACCTAACGAATAGCCAATGGAAATGTCGTTATATCGTCCCATGATGCTGGATAAGCCAATCAAGTTTATACAGTTTTCGTATCACGTTTTCGTATCACACTCATAAATTTTAATATTTCATATAAAACTAAGTGAATCTTTCATAACTAATTCTTGTATAAAGCTTTTTGTATAAAAAAGATATAATTAGAAAGTCTATAATGTTATGTAACTTTTAATATATAAGTATTTGATGTGAAATTCTTCCTATTTGACACTCAGCGATATAAATAAGGTTTGACAGCTTAAACTCTAAGAAGTATTTCCTTTAGCAAATAATATTTCTAATTCTTTTCTATTGTTCACCTAGAATTCTATCTAACCAAATAATCGGATTTCCCTAATGGTCACAAAAACAAGGTATTAAGTAATTCGAAATAGTAACCCCAAATTATGTAAAAATGTGAATTAGCTAAAAGAGATCTAACCAATAGAAACTGAAGCATTTCGATTGGTGAATAAAACAAGTCCAACCAGCACGTGTTCTTAGGGTTTAAAATAGGAAACCCTAAGGAATCAAAAACTAATTTACTCTTATGGTTGGACTCGAAATAAACATATATAGACATCTTTGTTTTATTCACCAGGTTCGTAAACTTATAATTTTTGTTTAATGAAAAATTAAACGTAACCTTAGTAATGTTTTAATGTAACAATTTTATGACAGAAATCTTTCTTTATTGAATTACCATAAATATCATGATAAACTATTTCAATTAATTAATAAAGTAATTTGATAATTGTTAATTCAAGTTCATTTTAAGTATCAAACTCTTTTATTTCATATTAATGTATTTTATAAAGATTACTCTTATGGTTGGACTCGAAATAAACATATATAGACATCTTTGTTTTTTTCACCAGGATGCCTCGAAAAAACGCGAACGACAGTCCCCCAAATTGTCGTAGTTAAAATAGTGAACACAGATATGTAAACAGTTGAGTGACGACACTTTAATTTTCAGCGGGAGATGGGAGGCAACTGCCTTAGTCTGCGCTTTCCCCCTCTTTCCCGCATAATAGAAACATGCAAGAAATAGATAACATACCACAACCATAAGAGAAGGAAGTGTATATAGTATTCCTTATTCAATATCGCACACCGTTTTCAACCCTCAACCAATATAATTTCTCAAGCAGATCTCTTTGGGTCATATTGGTGTCTCGGGTTGATACGGGTGTGATATTGAAAAAGTCGCATGCTATTCTCCATTTACATAGTGCCGTCTTTTTAAAAAATAAAGCCGCTGCCATTCAAGAAATTTTTATGAGTCACTTTCCTTTTGAAAATATAGTTTGTTTTGAATTTTTTAGTTGGCTTATTCTATTATCTTCGTGTTCATCTTGTAAACCCCGTCAAAAGATACCAGCATTATAAAGCAATACGGTTGGCGTGTTTCGTTTACATAAGACTCACCAATGACGCTCGAATCAAAACTGTAAGCAGAAATAAATTACATCGTTGAGGAGTTAAAAACTTGAAAAGTCATTGAAAAATAAAATATTCCGAAATGTTGTGCCAAATCTTACTTATGCTTCATAAGATGCTAAAACGCGTTTTATAACACTTATGTTTTAAACTCCTGACACACACAGCCCTTACCGGATTTGAAACTTCACAATTGATTTTTTTCCTACCGAAGGTTGTTGGTTCTCTCCGGGCACTCCAGCTTCCTCCGCTAATAAAAATTGACCAATAATGCTGAATGGTGCGTTAAAAACCAATTAATCAATCAATCACAGTTGATTGGATTTTCCAACTGATTTTTTTTCTCACAAAATATGAGATGACAAGTGTGGGAATTGTACTTTTTTATAACAGTTAGATATTTTTCACATTTGATATATTGTGGTATATATATATATTTCTTTTTTCACTCAAAAGTAAAAGATTTACCAAACAATATAA